CGAGGACACGAGAGACAACAGGACGAACAGCGCGGTAGTAGTCAGTGACAGGAGTAGGGGGGAAAGGGAGAGAGGACGGAGGCGGAGACGGGAGAACGGACTCAGGAGGAGGACGACGAAGAGACGAACAAAGGAGGGCAGTGCGGAGGTCGGTAACGGGAGACGAGTGACGAGCACGCGGAGGACAGGGACGGACACGAGAGTGTGGGACAACAGGTGGAGGAGACTGCGGTGGAGGAGAAGACCAGACCGCCGGACTGTCGTCAGGAGGAGGAAACGTGGGACCAAACGCTGGAGGGGACGGAGTGTGAACAGGAGGAGAGGAGGGAAGACCAAGGGCCCGAAGGCCACTCACGGGTGGGAACAACTGCCGCTCCAGAGGGAGCTGCTGTGGTCGCAGCTGCGGCGGCGGTGTCTGCTGCTGCTGCGGCTGCTGCTGCTGCTGCGGCTGCTGCTGCTGCTGCGGCTGCTGCTGCTGCTGCTGCGGCTGCTGCTGCTGCTGCTGCTGCTGCTGCTCCAGCAGGTCCAACTGCCGCAACTCCTGCCGCTCCCTCTCCAACAGCACCTGCTCCTCACGCTCACGCCGACGGGCCGCCGACGGACTCCGTAGAACCAGTGCCTCCAGCTCCAGTCTCCTCAGAACCAGCACCGCCAGTGCCAGCGCCTCCAGCACCAGCACCCCCAGAACCAGCACCCCCAGGACCAGCACCTCCTGTGCCAGCACCTCCAGCTCCATCACCCCCAGATTCAGTACCGCCAGTGCCAGGACCTCCAACTCCAGCACCCCCAGAACTAGCACCTCCAGTGCCAGCACCTCCAGCTCCAGCACCCCCAGAGCTAGCGCCACCTGCGCCAGCACCTCCAGCTCCAGCACCCCCAGGACTAGCACCTCCAGTGCCAGGACCTCCAGCTCCAGCACCCCCAGGGCTAGCGCCACCTACGCCAGCACCTCCAACTCCAGAACCCCTCAAACGAGCACCCCCGGACCGAGTACCGCCAGTGGCTGCACCTCCAGCTCCAAAACCAACTGAGTCCACAGTAGCCTGTCGCGGAAGTACCGAAGGCTGCTGAGGGGACTGTGAGGAGGACTGCGGGGAGGGAGCCGCTACCTGACGCGCGACCGAGGGTAGAGGGGTAGCGTGAGACACACCTGACGGGGCAGGACCAGGGGGGGGTGGGGGTACCGGAGGAGCGGGAGCAGGGGGAAGAGAGGGTGCGAGGAAAAGGGGGGGAAGGGGAACCGGGAGACCTCGACAGGGGTACCGGGTGTAGTAGGACACTGACTCGTCGAACCGGACGTCACGGGAGTCTAGGAACTGGTGGAGGGGCGGGTGGTAAAAAGACCAGTCGGCCGAGGCTACCGGGAAACCAAGGAAGACACAGGGGACGGCGCGAGCCGAGAGCTTGTCCACAGAGGTGTCGCGGACAAGCGCAAGGCAGCCCCAGACACGAAAAGCTGACCCAACACCAGGGGACCCGGTCCAAAGACTGGTCGGTGAAGCCTCTGGCCGCGAGACGCGCGGCTGGAGGTTCAGCTGGTGAGCGGCGTAGCGAACCGCGTAGGGCCACAGAAAATGGGGCGCACGGGCATGAATCATGGACGTGCGGGCGATGTCCATGACCAAGCCAATGCGGCGCTCAGCAACCCCATTCTGCTGTGGGGACTCTGGCAGCGTCCAGGACTGTACGATGCCCTGCTCGCCGCAGAATCCGGCAAGAATGCCTGAGCGAAACTCACCCCCACGGTCAGAGTGGAGACAGGAGACACGACGGCCACGAGTGCCCTCAGTGGCTAGAAGCCACCGGATCAGCGTAGAAGTCACCTCGGACTTCTTCGCGAGAGGAAACACCGTGGTGTACCTGGAGAAGTCGTCGACGACCACCAGAAAGTAGCGCTCCCTCTCAGGTCCCTGCGTAGGTGCAGGGCCCCAGACATCCAAGTGGAGTGTCTGGAAGGGAGCAGTGGCCGGAAGAAGGGAGGAGGAGTGCGGAGTGGCACGAAGACGGCCGGCGACGCAAGGAGTGCACGGCGGCGCAGGCGAGGGAGGGAGCGACGGGAAGACGCGAGGGAGACCTGAGACAAGACGGTGACCAGCCATAGTGCGGAGGCGGGGGATCGACGCGTGGCCAAGACGGTGGTGCCACAAGACGGTCCGGTGGGTGAAAGACCGACACGAGCAAGACGCAGCAACTAGACCGGACACAGCAACCTGACCGGACACAGCAACCTGACCGGACACAGCAACCGGTGGGGACGCAGTAATCTGACCGGACTCTGCTACCGGGGGGGACGAAGCAACCTGACCAGACGCAGCTACCTGCGGGGGCGGAGTGTGCAGGACGAAGAGACCTGAGTGGGGCTCTCTGGTGAACGTGGCAAGAACTGCCCCGGTGGAAGAGTCCGTACAGATCGCAGTCCTCCCGTGCGCAGGAAAAGTGAATGTGATCCCCCGGTCCTGAAGGTATCCAACACCCACCAAGTTCCAAGAGAACGAGGGGATGTAGAGACCAGTGAGGAAACCAGAGGGGACAGCTAGGCACGGGAGGGTGGTCGAGCTGCGAGCAACTGCTGGTCCTGAAGTAGGATCAGCCAGGGCAACTGGGACTGGAGCCGAAAGAGGTGTGACAGTGGTGTGGTCGCGGAAGAAGCACTGAGACGCGCCGGAGTCCAGCGTGAAGGAGAGCGACGCAACAGCAGTCGTCACGGCCGGGCTAGTGACTACACAAGCACCTACACTAAAAGCACAAGTACCGACACTAGCAACAGGCAAAGGTCCTAAGCTAGGTACACGTAAGCCAAGAGATCCGTACGTGACAGAATAAACAGCATCCATAGACATATCAAACACAGGGTAACCACTACGAAACAGACCGGGCCAGATCGGGGGAGCCGACTCAGGCCCAAAACGCTCACGGTAAAGGTCGTCGAGGGGGCTGTAGCAGCGCTGTGCAGAGTGGTCAGGACGCCAGCAGGTAGTGCCAGCGCCAGGGCCGGTCAGGATCCGGTACTGGCAGGGGCCGACGTCGCGGCCACCGCGACGAGCCCCCCAGCTGGCTGGGCCGCTGCTGCAGCCAACGCGACCTGAACCACCAGGCCCCCACGGCTGCTGAGGGCGCCACAGCTGCTGAGGGCGCCCCTGCTGCTGCGGAAGCCACTGCTGAAACGGCCGCTGCTGCTGTCCCTGCTGCTGGAGAACCCTAGTGGACTCCATGATAAAAGCTAGCGGGGTGCAGGAGCGGCAGGCTAGGAGCGACAGGTGAAACTAGGCGAGGAACGGCTGGAGTACGGAGCAAACTGAGCTACGAGCGAGGAGCGAGAACGGCTGGAGCGAGAACGGCTGGAGCACAACTGGCTGGAGCTAGAAACGGCGAGCTAGGGCTGGCTGGAGGTAGGAACGGCCGGAGCTAGAGACCGTAGGTGCGGCTGTCGGCTGCCGCTAGTAGAGCCACTGGCAGTGGAACGTACGTGCGACAGTAGGGGCTGCAGTACTGACGGCTGCGGGATGCAGGCAACTGTGCAGGTCGTCCGGCAAGCAGGAACGCGGCCGACAGTTGCAGGCCCCCACCCGAAACCCTTTTTTTTTTTTTTTTTTTTTTTTTAGGGTTTAATTTTTTATTTATTCATTTATTTTCTGGCGCTAAAGCGCTCCGGGGCGCGCTGCCTGCAGGGTGTGCTGCCTGCAGGGCGCGCTACCCGCGGGGCGCGCCGCCTGCAGGGCGCGCTACCCGCGGGGCGCGCTGCCCGCGCGGCGCGCTGCCTGCGGGGCTGGGGCGACGGGCCAGGGCGCGGGCTGGGGCGACGGGCTAAAGCGGGCGCCTGGGCGACGGGCTAGGGCGGGCGCCTGGGCGACGGGCTAGGGCGCGGGCCTGGGCGACGGGCTAGGGCGGGCGCCTGGGCGACGGGCTAGGGCGGGCGCCTGGGCGACGGGCTAGGGCGCGGGCCTGGGCGACGGGCTAGGGCGGGCGCCTGGGCGACGGGCTAGGGCGGGCGCCTGGGCGACGGGCTGGGGCGGGCGCCTGGGCGACGGGCTGGGGCGGGCGCCTGGGCGACGGGCTGGGGCGCCTGGGCCGGCTGGGCGCCTGGGCGACGGGCTGGGGCGGGCGCCTGGGCGACGGGCTAGGGCGGGCGCCTGGGCGACGGGCTAGGGCGGGCGCCTGGGCGACGGGCTAGGGCGGGCGCCTGGGCGACGGGCTAGGGCGGGCGCCTGGGCGTCGGGCTAGGGCGGGCGCCTGGGCGTCGGGCTAGGGCGGGCGCCTGGGCAACGGGCTAGGGGCGCAGGCTAGGGGCGCTGAGGGCTCTAACGCGCGGAGGAGGAGGGCGCTAAGGCGCGGAGATGGCGCGGAGGGCGCGGAGGGCGCGGAGGCTAAGGCGCGGAGGGCGCGGAGGGCGCGGAGGGCGCGGAGGGCGCAAGGGTGCGGAGGGCGCTAGTTAGGCTAGGCGAGAGGATCGACACCTACTCATGATACCATCTCAAAGTTAGCGAACAACGGAATGTGTGAACTAGGGAAACAAGGGATACAAATAGCAACCCTAAAAGTGTTGTACTCCCTAGAGTGCTACTCACTGTAGCCTAAGAACCTATAATAACATTTGACATGAGCGGGCAATGAGATCTACCAACAGAGTGTATTTTTTTCGAATCCCATGCTCCATGCGTTCCCGTAGGCTGGGATCTTCCTCGTATTCTGTTCCGTAGGTTCACACCTTTGACGAACCGGGAAAATAGCAGATGGCAGCAGCGCACATGAAGGTGAGGCAGAAAGCTCGCAAACAACATTACTGAGCATGGTGCTCTTTTCGATCGAGCTTTTTCCTGCCATGCTCCATCCGATTGTGTTGTCTATGATCTTCCCTTCTTTTGTAAGCTTCGTCACCGTTGTGTTAAGGCTGAAACGAGGCCAGTAATCGCGGGTATCCATGCCATATGTTCGGCCCTTAACCTCACCACTCGTGCTGTCCCCCCGCTTTTCCACCGATCCAGCGTCCGCAGATCGCGGGGATGGCGACTGAGCCAAAGTATCACGGAGTGAGATTGACGCCAGCACACTGGAGGGTGGAATTTCGTCATGGAGGCAAAGTGCTTTATATTGGCCGTCGAAACACGGCAGAGGAAGCTGCTAGGTTCTACGACAGGTGAGACTCTGTTTTTTCCTCTCTCTTTTTCTTCACATCGAGCTTCACTGGTCGTTTATCCATTAAGTCAGCTGGTTGGTTTGGGCCAGTACTGCTTCTGACACCCTTTTATCGCACCTGCATCAACCACACCTCCACGAAGTCACAACGACCAATCCTTCAATTTGTGCGATTCTCTTTTTCCTCCTTGCATGCAGGGCGGCATACAAGTTAAGGGGACCCGAAGCTCCATTGCACTTCGGCCTCACAGGCGAGCAGAAGGCTGAACTCGACGCCAAGTCGGAGGATCAGTTCCTGGCCTCCATTGCCACTGAAAACCTCCTGCTCAAGAGGGGCCGCGGTTCTTCGCGATTTACAGGCATGAGGTGGGAGAAGTCAAGAGGGAAATGTGTAGCAGAAATAAGGGGAGGGGGCACAAAAGCGTCCCTTGGCTCTTTTGCCACGGAAGAGGAGGCAGGCCGTGCATATGACGCAGCGTTGATCAAGAGGGATGGCCCGGATGCGATGACCAACGCCAGGTTCCTCAGTGGCGACTTCAGCAGCGTGGCTCCTGTGGGAAGCGGCCGCCTGCAGGTGGCTCGTGGTAGGGGCAGCCGGGGGCCAGAGGCGCAGGGTAAGGGGGGGAGATCGGGTGTGGAGGGGAAGGCACGTGGCGGCCGGGGCGGATCAGCAAGACAACGCAAAGCAGGTGAGGCAGGGGTACTGATATGCTGAGGGTCCTGGGGACCGGGTGTTCGTCATTATTGTTAGGTACATCAGTTTGGCTCTTGATTCTTGATTTTGTTTTTTTCCTTTGCAATAATACGTCGTGTGGGAGCAGCAGTCCGAGTAGCACATGACTTGTGAAAGCATCAGAGTTTCTAGCCATGGGGCATGGCAAGGCCCATGCTGTGTTTATCATGATGATTATGCGTGCATTCTGTTGATTATGTCCAGACTCGGATGAGGAGACCACATCTGAAGAATACCAAGAGGAGGAAGAGGGGGGAGAGGGGGAGGTTGAAGGAGAGGAGGGAGGAGCAGAAGAAGCAGGATTGAAGCAGCCAAGCAAAGCGCGCACCAACAAGACCAAGGTAGGGAAGCGCAGCAGCAAGAAATTCCCGTTCTCCTCCGTTCCCCCGCCCTCCACTCGCACCACTGACGACCCGGAAAATCAGCAGCGGGCAGCAGCGCGCAGGAAGGTGAGGCAGAAAGCTCGCAAACGACATTACTGAGCATGGTGCTCTTTCCGATCGGGCTCTTTCCTGCCATGCTCCATGCGAGTCAGTCCATTATCTTCCCTGCTTCTCTATGCTTCGTCACCATCACCGTCGTGTTAAGGCTGAACGAGGCGGTCATCGTGGGTATCCGTATCTTCGGCCCTTAACCTCACCCTCCTTCTGCCCCCCCTCTTTGCCACTGTTCTGTTCCAGCCCCCACAGATCGCGGGGATGGCGACTGAGCAAAGTTTATTTGGAGTGAGATTGATGGGATTACAGTGGAGAGCCGAATTACGTCATGGAGGCAAAGTGCTTAATATTGGCCACAGGAGCACCGCAGAGGAAGCTGCTAGGCTGTACGACAGGTGCGACTCTGTTTTTTCCTCTCTTTATTTTCTTCATATCGAGTTTCACTGGTCGTTTATCCTTGAGTCAGCCGGATGAGGCAGTACTGCTTCTGGCAGCTCGTTACCCCACCTGCATCAAATTAAACACACCCCCGTGAAGTCGCACCGACCAAGCCTCAAACTCTGTGTGTTTGTTGTTGCCCTCCTTGCCTGCAAGGCGGTATACAAGTTAAGGGGACCCGAAGCTCCATTGAACTTCGGCCTCACAGATGAGCAAAAGGCTGAACTCGACGCCAAGTCGGAGGATCAGTTCCTTGCCTCCATTGCCACAGAAAGCCGCCTGCTCCATTGGGGCCGCGGTTCTTCGCGGTTTACAGGCGTGAGGTGGTTGAAGCCAAGACAGAAATGGGCAGCATGCATCGGGATTGGGAAAGGGAAAGAGAGGCAACTTGGCTCTTTCGCCACGGAAGAGGAGGCGGCGCGTGCGTACGACGCCGCTGTGATCGAGAGGGATGGCCCCGATGCCATCACTAATGCGAGCATCTTCAGTGGCGACTTCAGCAGCGTGGCTCCTGTGGGAAGCGGCCGCCCGCAGGTGGCTCGTGGCGGGGGCAGTGGAGGGGGAAAGGCGCCGGGTAAGGGGGGGAGATCGGGTGTGGAGGGGAAGGCACGTGGCGGCCGGGGCGGATCAGCAAGACAACGCAAAGCAGGTGAGGCAGGGGTACTGGATGTTTTTCAATGTTGTTAGGTACGTCAGTTGGGCTCTTGATTTTTTTGCAATAATATGTCGCGTGGCAGCAGCAGAATGAGTAGAACATGTCTTGTGAAAGCATCAGAGTTTCTAGCCATGGGGCAAGGTCCATGCTGTGTTTATCATGATTATGCATGCATTTTGTTGATTATGTCCAGACTCGGATGAGGAGACCACATCTGAGGAGGAGGTTGAAGAGGAGGAAATGACAGAGGAGGAGACGGATGAGGAAGAAAAATACGAAGAGGAGGAAGAGGAAGAAAAGGGAGGGGAGAAAGATGAGGAGGGAGATGAAGAGGTGGAGGAGGAGGATGAAGAGAAGGGCGAGGACACAGAAGAGATGGGAAGTGCTTACGGGGGGGAGGGTTGTGGTCATGCTGACGTGAAAGCGGGTGACTCTGATGGGACTCGAATCCCCACTCCTCGAGGTCCCGTTTACCCAGAGGTCATGCCTGGCCGGATGAACACGAAGAGGGACAGCAGGGGGAGGAAGGAGAGGGGGCAGGAGAGGAGGAGGAGTTGGAGGAAGGAGAGGTTCGGGAGGAGGAGGAAGAGGAGGAGGAGGAGGAGGAGGAGGAGGAGGAGGAGGAGGAGGAGGAGGAGGAGGAGGAGGAGGAGGAGGTGGAGGAGGAGGTGGAGGAGGAGGTGGAGGAAGGAAAGATTCAGGAGGGAGATGAGGAAAAGGGAGGAGCGGAGGAAGCGAGTCAGCCAAGCACAGCTCGCAGCAGCAAGTCCCCGTTTTCCTCCTTCCCTCCGCCCTCCACTTTCACCATTGACGACTTTGGCTATCAGCAGCAGGCAGCAGCGCGCGGGGAAATTGGCAGGCAAGATGAACTGGCGCGTTTTGCCAAGCTCGGTGTGATGGCGGCTCTAGGGCTGGTGAATCCTCTCACCATGTCCTCGGAACAGCTGCTGGCTACCGTGGGCTTGACCCAGGCAGACCTGAATGCCAGCGTTGAAGAAATGGGGTGGAAGAGGAAGGACGGAGAGGTGTGGGATGGCACGGGGGAACCAGGTGGGATGGGAGGGAGTGGTGGGGCTGTGGGGGATGGTGGAGGAATGGGGATGAGTGAAGCGGATGCAGCAGGGGAGAGGAGTGTTGGCAAGCGAAAGTTTGGGCACGTGGGTACTGCTTTGGGAGAAGAGAACAGCTGCGTTTTGAAGAGGCTTCGGGATTCGCCTTCGGCAGGAGCATCTGGAGGAGATGGTGGGGATGGGATGGACGAGTTTGTGGATATCGAGTCGATTGATTGATCCGACTGCTTTTCCCGATGGTCGTAACTTCGATGCCGCTGCCAGGGACAACGAGAGGTGGGGTAACACACGACTAGCCTGAACCCAGGCCCTACTCGCAAGCCTGAGAGGGAGAAGGCGGAGCAAGAGAGGGAGGCTGCGAAGGGTGGTGGGGAGGGAGGGGGTGTGGGGGAGAGTGGGGAGTGTGGTGGAGAGGTGGGTGCAGTGATGGCAAGGGTGAGGGAGGTGGGTGGGGAAGAGGATGTGAGAAGGCGGTGTGGTGTGGAGGGTAGTGGGGTTAGCGGTAGTGGTGGTCCGTTGGAGGGTAGGGTTATGGTGTGGAGGGTGGGTGGCTATGGTTGCTGGATTCTGATGTTGCTTTTCGTTCTCCTGAATTGTCTCCTCAAGTACATTTTTCCTACTCCATGCCCTTTTCTTGTAAATATCCTTCTTGCTCAATCCCATGTTTTTTTTATTATTTCTTTCATGTACCCTACTGTAGTCTTGTTACCCTATCAGTGCATTGATGAGGAAGAACATGGTAGTTGATGTCGGAGCATACCTATGTATAATGCACGGAGCTCAAGGGACAATGGTATGTTATACCTCCCTTATAGCAAATAATGGAGTACCTCAGATAATATTGGTTGAATGTTGTAGAGAAGAATCAGCATTCAGTCCAACAGATGATATGTGCAATGATGAGCAATATTTTAACACATTCTTGTACGTTTTAGGATATGGCTCGTAGATAACCCTCATACGGTAATCCTTTAACAGAAACACTCATGCTAGTTGACGCTTGCGTGTATGAAATGAACTCTGCAACGAGAGTTCTTCAAAGCATTATAGAGAAACGTACCGTACTTAATACAGTTGCGTCTCACAGAACCAGGTTGGGGCAGTCATGCATTGGACGCCACGCCATGCCTTTGCCATGGTGATAGTGCTGGAGGGACCTGTAGTGAAGTCCTCGTGATGCCTCTCGTCTCGCGCGTTAGGAGCGTTCAACTTTCCATGGCGATCGGATCCAGATCCACGTGGCGAGATACGGTTGGGTTGAGGCCTCGAAGGTCACCTTGCTCCCTTGACGAGAGTGGAGCTCGCAGGGACAAGGTGGCAATCGAGCGGGCTAGCAGAGTGCAGAGTGTTCTCTCGATCGGATTCCATGCTCCATGTGTTCGTGGAAGCCGGAAGCTTCCTTGTATTCGTTTCATAGGTACGCTCGTCAATCCTTCCGACGCATTAGGTCAATCCTTTCCCTGCAGGTGCTGCCATCCATCCTCTCCGTCACTACCGTCACCGTCGTGTTAAGGGTGACTCGAGGCAGTCTTGACGCGATCCTTACCTTCGATCCAAACCCCTCGCTATTTCGTTTGTTCTCCTCGTTGCCGCTGTTCCAGCATTCAGAGAAGGTTGCCGCAATGGCGACTGAACGAATGTATCCCGAAGCGAGACGGAAAGGAACTCGTATGGGGGGCCCAGATAAAGCACGGAGGAAAAAACATACATCTCGGGTCTAGGAGTACTGCAGAGGAAACTGCCAGGCTCTTTGAAAGGTGAGAGACGGTTTTTATCTTGTTTGTTTGTTTGAGAAGCTTTACTGATTAGTTTTCCACAGCGTAAGCTGGTAGAGGCACTACTGTACTGGTTGGGCCGGAAGCCATACTAACGCCAGGTTCTTCTGTGGCGAATTCAGCAGCGTGGCTCCTGTTGGAAGTGCCCGTTCGCAGGTGGCTCGTGCCACGGGCAGCGGGAGGGCAGAGGCGCAGGGTGGCGGTGAGGGGGCGGGTGTGGAGAGGAAGACACGTGGCGGCCGGGGCGGATCAGCAAGGCGACGCAAAGCAGGTGGGGCTGGGGTACTGATATGCGGTGTGTGTTTGGGATTGGGTGTTTTTCAATGTTCTTAGGTACTTCACTTTTGCTCGTATTTGTTGTGGCAGTTTCTTTGCAATGGCGCACCCTATAGCAGCAGCAGTACGAGTAGCACTTGCCTTGTGAAAGCATCGGAGCTTTCATAGCCATGGGGGAAGTTTCATCATGTGTGGATCATGATAATCGTGCTTTGTGCTGTGTTGATGCCTTCCAGGTTCAAATGAGGAGACCACGTCTGAAGAATACCAACAGGAGGAAGAGGGAGTAGAGGAGGAGGATGTCGAAGGAGGGGCGGGAGGAGCAGAAGAAGCAGGATTGAAGCAGCCAAGGAAAGCGCGCACCAACAAGACAAAGGCAGGGAAATATAGCAGCAAGAAATCCCCGCCTTCCTCCTTCCCATCACCCTCTACTCGAACCATTGACGACCGGAGCTATCAGCAGCGGGCGGCAGCGCGAATGAAGGTGAGACAGGAAGCACGCAACCGACATATTCTGAGCATGGTTTCTTTCCGATCGGGGTGTTTCCTGCCGTGCTCCATCCGATTTTGTTGTCCATTATCTTCCCTTCTTTTGTAAGCTTCGTCACCATCACCGTTGTGTAAAGGCTGGAACGAGGCAGGTATCGTGGGTATCCGTATCTTCGACCCTTAACCATCGTGGGAACCTCACCACTCTTTCTGTCCCCCCTCCTTTCCATTGTTCCAGCCTTCACAGATTGCCGGATTGGCTACCAAGCCAAAGCTTGTCGGAGTGAGATTGATGAAATCCCATTGGAAGGTCGAGCTATGTCATGGAGGCGAAGTGCATCATATCGGGTGCAGGAGCACTGCGGAGGAGGGTGCTATGCTCTACGACAGGTGAGGGTTTCGTTTTCCTCTCTTTTTTTCCGCATCCAAGTTCACTAATCCGTTTCCCACCGAGTAAGCTGGCATGTAGATTATTGCTTCTGGTAGCTCTTATTGCACATGCATCAACCACACCCCAATGGGGTCACACCGACCAAGCCTAAAATCTGTTCAAATCCCTCTTCTCCTCGGTGCCTATCTTTCTTCTCCTTGCCTGCAGGGCGGCATACAAACTCAAGGGTCCCGAAGCTCAACTCAATCTTGGCCTCACAGATGAACAGAAGGCTGAGCTTGATGCCATGTCCGAGTTTCAGTTCAGGGCCTCCATTACCAAAGAAAACCTCCTGCTCAAGATAAGCCACGGGTCGTCGCGGTTCACAGGTGTGGGGTGGGAGAACAAAAGTAAAAAATGGGTAGCATACATTTGGCTTCAGAACAGAAAGAGGCGCATTGGCTATTTTCGCACGGAAGAAGAAGCAGCCCGTGCGTACGACGTGGCTGTGATGGAGAGAGATGGCTCGGATGCCATGACCAACGCTAGGATCTTCGGTGGCGACTTCAGCAGCGTGGCTCCTGTGGGGAGCGGGCGTCCGCAGGTGGCTCGTGCGCTGGGCAGCGGGAGGGCAGAGGCTCAGGGTGGCGGCGAGGGGGCGGATGTGGAGAGGAAGACACGTGGCAGCCGGGGCGGATCAGCAAAGCGACGCAAAGCAGGTGAGGCAGGGGTACTGATATGCTTTGTGTGTTGGGGATTGGGTGTTCTTCAATGTTCGTGGAGGGGAAGGCTCGTGGCGGCTGGGGCGGATCAGCAAGAAGGCGCAAAGCAGGTGAGGCAGGGGTACCGGTATGCTGTGGGTCGTGGGAACGGGGTGTTATTTGATGTTCTTAAGTTAACGTTTTCATAGCCTTGGGGCAAGGTTCTTGCTGTGCGTGCGTGTCATGCTGGTTGTGCGTGGATTCTGTTCATGTGTTCCAGATTCAGATGAGGACACCCCCGTTGAAGAATATGAAGAGGAGGGAGGGACAGAGGAGGAGACGGGTGAGGAAGGAGGGGTTCAGGAGGAGGAGAAGGAGGAGGAGAAGGAGGAGGAGAAGGAGGAGGAGAAGGAGGAGGAGGGGGAGGAGGAGGAGGAGGAGGAGGAGGAGGAGGAGGAGGAGGAGGAGGAGGAGGAGGAGGAGGAGGAGGAGGGGGAGGAGAAGGAGGAGGGGGAGGAGGAGGAGAAGGAGGAGGAGGAGGTGGAGGAAGGCGAGGTTCGGGAGGGGGATGAGGAAGGAGAGGAGGGAGCAGCAGAGGAAGGAGGAGCGAGTCAGCCAGAAAAGTCCCCGCTCTGCTCCTTCCCTTCGCCCTCCCCTCGCACCTGTGACGACCCGGGCTATCAGCAGCGGGCAGCAGCGCACAGGGGGAAGGCGAGGCAGGAAGTACTGGAGCGTCTGGCCCAGGTCGGCCTAATGGTGGTTCAACGGCGCGTGGATCCTCTCACCATGACCTCGGAACAGCTGCTGGCTACCGTGGGCTTGACCCAGGCAGACCTCGATGCCTGGGATGAGGAAAGGGGGCAGACGAGGAAGGACGGAGGGGGTGGGGGTGGCGAGGGGGGACAAGAAGAAATGGGGGTGGGAGGGAGTGGTGGGGCGATGTGGGCTGGTGGAGGAGGGCGGGGGGAAGAGGCGGATGCAGCAGGGGAGAGGAGTGTCGGCAAGCGGAAGGTTGGAGACGCAGGTATTGCAGCTGGAGAGGAAAACAGCTGCGTTTTGAAGAGGTTTCGGGATATGCCTTCGGCAGAAGCATTTGGAGGAGATGTTGGGGATGGGATGGACGAGATTGTGGATATCGAGTCGATTGATTGATGGTTGCTATGGTTATGGTTGCTGCTCAAGATCATGCTACCTATCCCATGCCTTCTCTTGTGAATATCCTTCTTGCTCTATTCCTTCCAATGCCTTATTGTTTCTTTCTCTACCCTACTGGTAATTGACTTAACTGGTCTTGTTCTTTACCCTGTCTCCTTGCATTATGTAGGGAGAATATGGGTACTGTAATACGGTTCATTGATATCAGAGCATACAACGCACAGAGCTCTAGGGAAGGGACACTGCATAAACTGTGGGTGGCACCATTACCGTACAAGCTACTAGCCTGAAGTGCAACACAGAATCCACAAACAACTTTGTTGGAGGCTGTGTGTGCCAGTAAGAAGATGAATCAGTATTGGGGCAGCTGTGAAGGAGCGGTGAGGGCCGGTGGCGTGGGGGCGGTCTCAAAACAGTTGATGGCCGGTGGGGGCTGCTTTTGAAGATTGTAGAAAACCATGTCATTTTGACGAGAAAGGCAAGCAGATGATGATGGTTGATGGGGGTGAGCTCCATTGGCAAGAGGACATGAGGGCATGTGAGGGGCGTGCAGGCTGAGAGAGTAGGCAGGATGACACAGGCAAGGAGAGAGTGAAAAGGGGATACCATCCCGTGTGAGCAATGGTGGGTGGTGGGTGGGAGGGAGGGGAGGAGGGGAGGAGGGGAGAGGTTGGGGGGACGAGGGGGAAGGGTGTATCCATTGAACCCATCCATTGTGCCCCTTGGCTTTCGTCTCTCTCTCTCTGCCTCCCTCTCCCCAACGTCTCTCCACCAGCCACCCATGTGTGTCACCTCTCACTCATCCTCCCCTCACTACCCACTCCCACCCGCCCGCCCATCCCCTGCCGTCGATTGCTTCCCTGAGCCACTTGCGCTGCTCGTCTGTCTAAAGCACAAACACCACACAGCAAAGAGTGCGTGACAGGAATTGTGTTGTGACGTTGTATTGCTCATAGCGTGACAGACAGACCAGGTTCGCTGAGCTGTGTGCCTGAAAAAAGGCATGTGGCTTAACGAACTTGGCATAGTCAATCAGAGGGACGGCCGGGAGGGAGCACCAACACTCTCCTCCGGTGATGCGTTGGTAGGAATCGGGGGAATGGCGGAGAGAGAGGGAGAACGAGAGGTATAAAGAGAGCGAGAGAATCCGTTTCGAGATAAAGATTGAGAAGAATAAAGAGTGGGCAGAGTGTACATAGCATTGCGTCAGATTTGCTTCAACTAAATAAAAAAGATGGGAAATGTACACGAAGTAATGTCATGCCTGAAAGGACCTTGCGGAACGCGGATACGCAGGCTCAAACGAGCGTTCCAACAACGGGATACTTCCTTGCAAATGTTTCCACCCAGTCATCAAGCGTCCTGAGCTGCTTCTCAGTCAACCCCTCCAGCGACCCGCCGACGTCATCCATGGTCATGGTCGCGAGCGACCGGCTCGCGTCCTTGCCTGCGAAGATCGAGTACGGCCCATCCGGACCGTAGAAGGAGCTCGCTGACGTGACGTCGTAGATGACGTGCTTCAGCGACACGAGGATGGGCTTGGAGGCGTCGGAGCCGTTGTACTCGGCTAGCTTGTCCGCGGTGATTTCGCCGAGCTGAAATGTCGACTGCGGCTTGGCGTCGGCCATTGCTCTTTCGGACCTACAATAGACGAGGCTGGTCGTTTCTGAAGATGGACAGAGAGCGATGTCGACGAGAAATAACGGTGTGACGTGGCGAGAAGTCACGAAAGGGAATAACTACAGGGAAAGCTGGATCTTGCCAGAACGGAAGTCGGGAAAGCCGATTTGGCATGGATTGTCTGTACGGGAAGCCGACTGCACTGGCGGGGTGATTCGTTTGTGGTTTGATTCTTGCTGGTTCGACGAGCATGTACGTATAACGAACGGAACCTTTAGTGAGTTATATCCATAACCCTTCCCAGCGATTACAAAAAAAAAACTAAAGAAACGGATCAATTTCAGTATGCATTCACAAGAGCGAGGTGAAGATAGCACCTCTTGGCGAAACGGAGAAAATTCGCCTGTTACAGGAATTGCAGAAGGCTGTGCGAGCCTAAGGGGCAACGCATAAGATGTGCCGATTTTTATCATTTGCGGTCCACTCTCACTTGCAAAATGAGATGAACGGGACCGCCTAGGATATTCTGAAGCTGATACCGTGCCTCCCTGCCTATGGAACTGCATCACCAGCACAACAGGAAAGCAGGAAGAGGTTGAAGGAATAAGAAAAGCGGCAGCTGAAAAGCACTCAGGATTGCAGCACTAGGCATGACAGAGCTCTAATGTCACGCGGTACATGCATGAATACCAGGCATGCTTTATAGACATACCAACAACAGCATGAATGAACACACCATATTATGACCACACAACAACACAGCGGGACTTACCGCACGACTGCCAACGAGCATGGCTCTCTGCATGAGCAGCTGCTGCTCTATGCGCAGCGACCCATCCCTGAGCACATGACCACACAATAACACAGCGTGACTCACCGCACGACCTGTCCGGCCTTGCCAACGAGCATGGCCCTCTGTGCATTGGAGTGCACGAGCAGCAGCTGCTCTATGCGCAGCGACCCATCCTTGAGCACAGAGCATGACAAGTGGCGGTGCTCTATGGCGTATGGCACCTCCTGTGGGGATGGGAGAGGGAGGGAGGGAGGGAGGAGGGAGAGAGAGAGAGGAGAGCAAGGAGAACACCCACCTGCTAGAACCAGGGCTTTTGAAATGCCCTCACATACACTCCACTGCCTGCAACGAGCGAGCAACCAAGCAAGCCACGCACAGCCCAGCCCACCTGGTGCATGCGGTGCAGCAGCAGCTCCCTCACGATCTGCATGGCCAGCTGCTCCGGGGACTGGTCCGTGCGCAGGCGAGGGTCCTCCTCCCACGCCGCCTGCACCGCCTGGTGTGTGTGTGGCAGGAGGACGGAGGACAGACGGAAAGGAGGGGATGAGGGGAACATGAGAGTCGACTCAGAAGAAGGACGGACGGTTGGGGGAAAGGACAGAAAACAGAGGACGGCCTGCCATGGCGCTTGTACGGTCCTCCTGCCATGGCGCTTGTACGGTCCTCCTGCCATGGCGCTTGTACGGTCCTCCTTCCATGGCGCTTGTACGGCCTGCCGTGAGTGTGGCAGGACAGAAGACAGAGGACAGCCAGAGAGGGAGGGGGGGCATAGGAGTGTGGAGGAATAATGCGGGATCACAGGGGATTGGTGGAGAAAATGAGTGAGACCAATGATAGGGGTCGGTTGAGGTGGGTGTTTGTGTGAGGGGCGGCAGCTAAGAACTACATTCTGTTGTTGCATTCACGGAGCAACGTGGCTAGTGCATGCATGAGGGGTTACTGGTAAAGAGCTCAGGTAGAATCTCAGGTGAAGAGAGAACAAACACTTGCTGACTAAACCATGGCAAGGAACTCATGGCAAAAGCCTCAACACATGGTATGGCATGACCCCCATGGTATGGCATGACCCCCATGGTATGGCATGACCCCCATGGTATGGCATGACCCCGAGACATAGAATATCACCCCCATGCGTGAGAGGTGGGAGCAGGGCGGGGCAGGGCAGGGCGAAGCACGGACATGGTCGAAGAGATATTCCTCCAGTAGGTTGACGCCCTGTCCTGCAATGCGGATACCATGAACACCCTGCCAGGAGGGGAGGGGTGTGTTGAAGATGGGTGATGTTGGCGAAGGTATGACCAGAATCGAATGAAGGGTGGACATGACTGTGTTGTGACATGACAGGTTTGAGGCACGGTGTATAGAGTTGGGCGGTGTTGTGAAACAAGGATCTATGTCACTGCCGCACTATATGTCATCCATCCGTACATGCACTACCGCATCATATCCCACTCACTCCCCACATGCCTCCACCCCCCCCCCCCTGCACCCACTGCTCTCACTTCCCCCAATCCCTCCCACTCTCCCCCCCACTCCCCCCACCTTTCAATGGAGTGGAAAGCGCTGAGCTCCTGTGCGAGAGGCAGCAGCAGGCGCTTGTCCTTCACCAGATCAACCTTGTTCAGCACCGCTACGCGCTGCTGCCCCTCCCTCCGCTCCGCCCCCACCACCCCCACCATCCGCCGCACCCGCGGGTCCTGCCTGCAGGTGTGGAGTGCGGTGGGAAGGGATGGGTTGGTATAAGATGAGTTTGTGGGATGGGGTGGATTGGGATGGGATGAAACAAGATGGAGAGAGAGGGGGACATTCGAGAGGGGCATTCTGGACAAGAGAGAAGGACTGTGAGTGGGGAAGTAGGGGAGAACCAGGGCAAGGCAATGTAGAAAGAGACACAGTATAACCCCACCACTTTGTGAAACCCCTTCGCCCATTCACCCCAACGGCCAACCTTCAATTGCCCACTCTCCTCCACCACCGCCCAAACCCTTCCCTGTCACCCACACTCCCCTTCCACTCCCTTCACCCTTGTCCCACCCACCATCCTTTTCCTTCTCCTCACTCACTCACCTCCTGGTCTGCCAGTCAGCATCAATCAAGATAACCACCACGTGACACCACTTCCCTACTCCCCTCAACCTCTGCGCTCTGCCCCCTGTCCCATGCCCCCACCCACACCCCCCTCTGCTCCCTTCCCCTCCCCCTAACCTCAACCACCCTCGCACCTCCTGATCTGGCGGTCGGCATCAATAACGAGCGCCACCACATGGCAGTGCAGGGCAGCGGAGGATGCGAGCAGCGACCCCTCCTCCTTGCACCCACTCCCCAACCACCCTCCTCCTTGCACCCACTCCCCAACCACCCTCCTCCTTGCACCCACTCCCCAACCACCCTCCTCCTTGCACCCATCCCCAACCACCCTCCTCCTTGCACCCACTCCCCAACCACCCTCCTCCTTGCACCCACTCCCCAACCACCCTCCTCCTTGCACCCACTCCCCAACCACCCTCCTCCTTGCACCCACTCCCCAACCACCCTCCTCCTTGCACCCCCTCCCCAACCACCCTCCTCCTTGCACCCACTCCCCAACCACCCTCCTCCTTGCACCCACTCCCCAACCACCCTCCTCCTTGCACCCACTCCCCAACCACCCTCCTCCTTGCACCCACTCCCCAACCACCCTCCTCCTTGCACCCACTCCCCAACCACCCTCCTCCTTGCACCCACTCCCCAACCACCCTCCTCCTTGCACCCACTCCCCAACCACCCTCCTCCTTGCACCCACTCCCCAACCACCCTCCTCCTTGCACCCACTCCCCAACCACCCTCCTCCTTGCACCCACTCCCCAACCACCCTCCTCCTTGCACCCCCTCCCCAACCACCCTCCTCCTTGCACCCACTCCCCAACCACCCTCCTCCTTGCACCCACTCCCCAACCACCCTCCTCCTTGCACCCACTCCCCAACCACCCTCCTCCTTGCACCCACTCCCCAACCACCCTCCTCCTTGCACCCACTCCCCAACCACCCTCCTCCTTGCACCCACTCCCCAGCCACCCTCCTCCTTGCACCCACTCCCCAACCACCCTCCTCCTTGCACCCCCTCCCCAACCACCCTCCTCCTTGCACCCACTCCCCAACCACCCTCCTCCTTGCACCCACTCCCCAACCACCCTCCTCCTTGCACCCACTCCCCAACCACCCTCCTCCTTGCACCCACTCCCCAACCACCCTCCTCCTTGCACCCCCTCCCCAACCACCCTCCTCCTTGCACCCACTCCCCAACCACCCTCCTCCTTGCACCCACTCCCCAACCACCCTCCTCCTTGCACCCACTCCCCAACCACCCTCCTCCTTGCACCCCCTCCCCAACCACCCTCCTCCTTGCACCCACTCCCCAACCACCCTCCTCCTTGCACCCACTCCCCAACCACCCTCCTCCTTGCACCCACTCCCCAACCACCCTCCTCCTTGCACCCACTCCTCACTCACGCACCTCCTGATCTGGCGGTCGGCGTCAATCACGAGCGCCACCACATGGCCGTGCAGAGCAGCAGAGGACGCGAGCAGCGACCCCTGGCGTTGCGACGCTGACAGCGGCTGCGATGGCATTGCCACTGTCAGCCCTGGCGTGTCGTGAAACACCTGGGGGGGGGGGGGCACGGGGACGGGGAAAGGCGGGGGGACGGGGTGAAGCAGGAATAGGGAGGGGGAAAGGAGGGGAAGAGGGAGGAAGCGCAGAGGAGAGAACGGAGGGAGGAGGGGAGGGAGGAGTGGAGGGAGGTGGGGAGGGAGGAGGAGGGGGCGGGGGGTGACGAGTGAGGTGGGGTGACAGAGAGAGGCAAGAGGAAGAGCGAAGCTCACCAGCTGCGTGGGGCCGGTGGTGCGGATGCCCACCACCTCCCTCTGCGTCGTGTTGGTCTTGCGCGATACTGCTGATATCTTCACCCCCACCTGCACGCACGGAAACGGGGGAAGGAGAAGCCAGGGCGAGGAGGGGGGGGGGGGGGGTGTGTGAGGGGTAGAGGGTCCGGGGAGGGGAATGACAAGGAGGTCGGTGAAAGGCGGGGAAAGCGAGAGGAGGGGGGCCGGTGCGGCAGAAGTAGGAGAGAGTGGGGCGCGGGGGGCGGGTGGATGAGAGCGAGATGGCAAAGGTGAAGGAAGGAAGTGGTGAGGTGTTGAGACAGAAAAGAAAGAGCACTAGCGCGCCATCGTTCCTTGTCCCTTACCCAAACTGCTTGTTCCAACCTTAATATCAATGGTCCCCTTTCCCCCCACCCGTCCCCCTCTTTCCCACACTCACTCACCCTCCCCTTCTGCTAACTTTCCCTCCTCACCCCTTCCCTCCCGCTCTAGCCCCCCTCCCTCTTATCTCCCCCCCCCAGGCGGTTCATCAGGGCGGACTTCCCCGCGTTGGGCGCGCCCACCAGCGCCACGCGCGCAAACCGCTGCTTCTCCACCGCCACCTGCCCCTCCGCCTCCGCCTGCGCCCCGCCCGCCTCCCCCAACCAGTCCCCCAAACCCCTGAATCCCGGCCGCCATCCCCTCTCGCGAAAACTCCTCCGCCATTCCTCCTCTTCCTCCTCGTCGTCTCCCCCCACCTCCCCGCGCCCCTCCTCTCCGTCATTCCTTCCGTCCCCCCACGCGTTCTCCCACTTCCCCATCCTCTCCGCCACTCTCCCCCGCGTCGTCCCCCGCCCAGTGCCGTTTCCCGCGGCTCATCCCCGCGAAGAACCGCCCGCTGAGAATCGCGTCCGCGATCTGCTTCGCCTTGCGCAGATCCTCCGCCGACGCCACTCCGTACCCGCTCATATCTTCATCGCCGTCCGCTAAAGCCACCCCGCCCCGCGCCTCAGCTTTCCGATCCACTTCCCGAACCTCATCCCAAACCCTTCCCCGCCCCTCCTCCCTTCCGTCTTCGAGATTTCTTCTTCTTTCCGCCGCCTCCCCCTCTGCTTCCGCAGTCGCGCCATAGCTCACACGCACATCCCCCACACACTCCTCCCTGCCAGCCGCTCTCTCGCCCGACGGTCCAGATCTCTTCCCGGCAACCGGCGGCTCCGATCCAACGGCCGCGACGGCTCGAGAAGAGTGAAGAAGCCGCAAAATCAGAGCGGACGAAGCGGAGAGCCCGGATCCATGAACAGGCGGCGTGCGGCTGCTGTGGTAATGATGTCGACAGATGTTAGGAGACGCAGGCTGCGGTGACGGGCGAGTGGCGACTAATCGGTTCAGCGCGGGGTTACGGTGACTACCTGAATCGCAGAGTTGGTTACGGTGAGACGCGCTGAGGAACGATGAAGGTGGGGGAGGATGGGACGCGCGGGAATGGCGGCGCGAAGGCGTATCTGAGCAAATGTTAGCGCGCGACGGATCGGTGGCGTGCGACGATGCGAGAGGTGCAGCTGGCGAAGGTGAGAGGTGTTCGCGAAGAGATGCGAGGCGGAGTCTTCCGCTGCGAGCGACGGCTATTACGCGACGACGGACGGAAGGCGATCGGAAGGCATGGCTCGCCATCTATACGACGACGAGGCAGGTCGTCAGTCGTATCATCGCCTGCCGCCGTGACGCCACGCCGACGTGCTGATGACAGTCCAACTGATCGATTCTGATAACTTCTGAGCAGAGAACATGCACCTTGCGTGGGGCTGCCTTTCTCCTTTGAGAGTGTCTGGGATCAGGGATTTTCTTCCCAGCCTTACGAACTAATATCGAGGACGCTGCGGTGTTCTTTCCGCCAGCCAAACCCGAAGGACAATTCGCGCCGTGGTGCCTCCTTGTGGGCGCTGCTGCCGTCACGGTGTGGAGGGATCGCTGTGCCTTTCGCAATGAACAAGTCGAATACTCACGTGCTGCTACTCTCCACCGCGTTTTGGCGCTGTGTTTGGGATGGGGGATCTTCTTCCCAGCCTTACGAATTGCCTGCAACGCATGCATGGTGTAACATTTCGAGCCTGTATCAGGTTGAAACTCAAAAGGAGTTTCTCTATACGTAATAGGATTGTGCAGTGCATATAGGGTGGACATTTGACGGTCCTGCTGGCTTCGAGTTTCTGTGATTCCGAACCAGAGGGACCCAGAATTCGCTGGTTCCGAACCAGATGCTCGTTTGGTTCGGGTTTGGTCCGAGACACATCTGGTGTGACACACATCGAGGATTACGCGAGTCAGAAATTGTTCCTGCTTCAAGTGCTCGTATTTCAAACCAATCCACCCACGCTTGGTTCAGTCAAGCACAAAAGAACTTTCTGAGTTACGCCAGCAACGGACCATACTATTTAGCACAATGGAGGCACATTCAGAGCTGCCTGGAGGAAGTACAGACGTTGAAGTTGCAGACGTTGTTAAGGTTATCTCTTTGAATCAGCTGCAGGGGGGTTCTAATCGAATGTCGATTGAGTTTGCCAAGGACACCGTAATCCTGAAGTTTCCTGACACGAAGCCTGTATCATTCTTTGGTTACAGGTAAAAGAGTCGATTTGGGAGTCATCTGTTAGCTTATCTAGACTAATCGTACCTTGCTGCAGGCCCGAAAAACGCTGCAAGCTTTATTTTCTCTACAATCAAACCGACAACAGTGAAGCCGTTTTCAATAAGGAGATCGAAGGACTTCTTACATCCCTCAGTGAGGGTCGCAGCGTCAATGTTATCGTCTACGGTGCGTCAGGCAGTGGCAAGTCGCACCTCCTGCAGGTACACATGATCTCATATTTTCTGTGCATGACTACATGAATGTTTGAAACTCATGCTTGTCTCTGCTGGAGCAGGGTGATGGCAAGGACGACCGAGGAATTATATATTTGTGCGCAAAATGGATTGCTGAAAATATCATTGAGCACGAAGGGTTCATTGGGTCGTTCTCGTATTATGATCTGCAGGGGAGCAAGGTGTTCGACCTGCTCCAGCGCCAACAGGCTGACATCTCTGGCCTGCATGAGGTAATAAATTTTTTTATTTTTGTCGTGGAAGTTGAAAGTTTGGAGCAACTGTACTTCCGGTTCTCACTCTTCTTTTTCTTGTTGACAAATTTACAGGGAAGTTTCCGCTCAATGGAAACGTTCATCAAGGCCCTGTCAGAGGCCAAGAGAAGGCATCACCCTGCGGTGCACTCTGTTTTACAGTTCAACGTTTGGCGCGACAACAACCCGCACTTTATTGGCCGTCTCAAACTCCTGGATTTCGTCACAAAGAATGAGGAAGGCCTCGAGGGTCCGTAGTCCATCCATGCCAGGGTGTCCAACCACCACCTTGTAGTCTAACTTGTGCTTTACCATACCTCACCACCACCTTTACATCACACATTCTAACCTTTTTCATGCAGTGGGTGGATATCATGTACTGGTAGCTACGCATGTCTCATTACTACAGGTACTGCTGAAACTACTGTTGCCAAGGATACCCCGCCCTTCCTCTCTTCTCCCAACCCTCGCACTGTGTTGCTTTGCTTGTCATGCTTGCACCATGCATTTCACTCCCTTTTTCACTGCTCTTTGTCACACCCATTAGACCTCCCTCCCCCAAGGTAGTAGGTAATGTTTTCTTGGTAAGCCTCAGGTTTTTGTTTTCGTTTGGTTCAGCTGGTACGAGGTCTCTTGGGTGTGCCACTGCAGCAGTCCATTCATGCACGCATCATGCTTGCGCTTGCTGCACTCTTCACTTTCACTTGTCTTGGCTTCTTTCCTCACTGCTCTCCCCACTCCTCTGCCCCCCCTTCACTTCCCCGTTTTCTTTCCCCTCCTCTCTCTGTCCCAACCCGCCCCCTCCCTTTCCAGCAGGTCGCTCACACGGGAGTGGCAGTGGTGGGAGGGGAGGGGGGCAGCACTCCACTCGGCTGGGATGGGATGGGAGAGTATCGGGATGGGGTCGTCTGGAACAAGGTGAGCCTCTATTCCCTCGTGCACTCATGCTGCTGCTTGGTCTTCTCCCCATGCGGACTTCCCGTTTCTGCTCCCTTGGTTCCTTGTAGCTTGTGCCTACTCTTCTCCCCATTCTCACTGCTGTCCCTTGATCCCCTGCCTACCCCTGCCTTGCTCCCTCCCTCCCAGTACATTGAAGGCTGTAGCAGGGCAGCACGGGGGCAGCAGCAGGGCAGCAGCGGAGGGGAGGGGAGGGGCAGCGGCAGCAGCAGGGGAAGCAGAGTAGCAGACCGGGAGTGGCAGTGGCGGCTGACATGGAGTGCACAGGCAGCAGCTGCTCTCCACCCAACCCACCTACAGCTAAGTACCCCGCCCTTCCTCTCTTCTCCCAACCCTCGCACTGTGTTGCTTTGCTTGTTATGCTTGCACCATGCATTACACTCCCTTTTTCACTGCTCTTTGTCACACTCATTAGACCTCCCTCCCCCAAGGTAGTAGGTAATTGTTTCTTGGTAAGCCTCAGGTATTTGTTTTAGTTTGGTTCAGCTGGTACGAGGTCTCTTGGGTGTGCCACTGCAGCAGTCCATTCATGCACGCATCATGCTCGCGCTTGCTGCACTCTTCACTTTCACTTGTCTTGGCTTCTTTCCTCACTGCTCTCCCCACTCCTCTGCCCCCCCTTCACTTCCCCGTTTTCTTTCCCCTCCTCTCTCTGTCCCAACCCGCCCCCTCCCTTCCCAGCAGGTCGCTCACACGGGAGTGGCAGTGGTGGGAGGGGAGGGGGGCAGCACTCCACTCGGCTGGGATGGGATGGGAGAGTATCGGGATGGGGTCGTCTGGAACAAGGTGAGCCTCTTTTCCCTCGTGCACTCATGCTGCTGCTTGGTCTTCTCCCCATGCTCACTTCCCGTTTCTGCTCCCTTGGTTCCTTGTAGCTTCTGCCTACTCTTCTCGCCATTCTCACTGCTGTCCCTTGATCCCCTGCCTACCCCTGCCTTGCTCCCTCCCTCCCAGTACATTGAATGCTGTAGCAGGGCAGCACGGGGGCAGCAGCAGGGCAGCACGGGGGCAGCAGCGGAGGGGAGGGGAGGGGCAGCGGCAGCAGCAGGGGAAGCAGAGTAGCAGACCGGGAGTGGCAGTGGCGGCTGACATGGAGTGCACAGGCAGCAGCTGCTCTCCACCCGACCCACCTACAGCTAAGTACCCTGCCCTTCCTCTCTTCTCCCAACCCTCGCACTCTGTTGCTTTGCTTGTCATGCTTGCACCATGCATTGTGCCCCCTTTTTCACTGCTCTTTGTCACACCCATTAGACCTCCCTCCCCCAAGGTAGTAGGTAATTGTTTCTTGGTACAGCCTCAGGTATTTGTTTTAGTTTGGTTCAGCTGGTACGAGGTCTCTTGGGTGTGCCACTGCAGCAGTCCATTCATGCACGCATCATGCTTGCGCTTGCTGCACTTTTCACTTTCACTTCTCTTGGCTTCTTTCCTCACTGCTTTCCCCCTCCTCCCTTCCTCTCTCTGTCCCAACCCGCCCCCTTCCGTCCCAGCAGGTCGCTCACACGGGAGTGGCAGTGGTGGGAGGGGAGGGGGGCAGCACTCCACTCGGCTGGGATGGGATGGGAGAGTATCGGGATGGAGTCGTTTGGAACAAGGTGAGCCTCTTTTCCCTCGTGCACTCATGCTGCTGCTTGGTCTTCTCCCCATGCTGACTTCCCGTTTTTGCTCCCTCCCTTCCTTGTAGCTTCTGCCTACTCTTCTCCCCATTCTCACTGCTGTCCCTTGATCCCCTGCCTACCCCTGCCTTGCTCCCTCCCTCCCAGTACATTGAAGGCTGTAGCAGGGCAGCACGGCGGCAGCAGCAGGGCAGCAGCGGAGGGGAGGGGAGGGGCAGCGGCAGCAACAGGGGAAGCAGAGTAGCAGACCGGGAGTGGCAGTGGCGGCTGACATGGAGTGCACAGGCAGCAGCTGCTCTCCACCCAACCCACCTACAGCTAAGTACCCCGCCCTTCCTCTCTTCTCCCAACCCTCGCACTGTGTTGCTTTGCTTGTCATGCTTGCACCATGCATTACACTCCCTTTTTCACTGCTCTTTGTCACACCCATTAGACCTCCCTCCCCCAAGGTAGTAGGTAATGCTTTCTTGGTACAGCCTCAGGTATTTGTTTTAGTTTGGTTCAGCTGGTACGAGGTCACTTGGGTGTGCCACTGCAGCAGTCCATTCATGCACGCATCATGCGTGCGCTTGCTGCACTCTTCACTTTCACTTGTCTTGGATTCTTTCCTCACTGCTCTCCCCACTCCTCTGCCCCCCTCTTCACTTCCCCGTTTTCCTCCCCCCCTCCTCCCTTTCTCTCTTGATCTGCCCTCTTCTGGTCCCAGCAGGTCGCTCACACGGGAGTGGCAGTGGCGGCATCGAGTGCACAGGCAGCACCTGCGCTCCACCCAACCAACCCACGCTCCTCCCAACCAGCTAAGTACCCCGCGCTTCCTCTATTCTCCCAACCCACGCTCGCACTGTTGCATTTTATGTGCTGCCCTCTATCACACACAAGAGACCTGGGCCTCCCTCTAAACCTGAGCCTCTGGTCGTGCCTCATTTTCAAGCCACAGACCCCTTTTCTTTGGTAAACCACCCCAGGTACAGAAGGTATTCTCTCAGGTTAAGCCTCCCTTGGTATATAGCCCCTTTGGGTCTGTGGATTCTAGCTGAGGCTGCTCCAGTGGCTCCCTTTCCTGCTGGCACCTGCCACCCCACCCCTCCCATGCACACCCTTCACATCGTTACCCCTAGCCGCTTACTCACTTGACTTCAGTTCTCTCCTTGCAGTTGGAGGGGAGGGGCGTAGGGGTCAACACCACCACTCCCCCGCACCCCTCCCCTTGTGGCCGTGCAGGTGGCAGTGGTGGGAGGAGGGGAGGGGGGCAGCACTCCACTCGGCTGGTTGGGATTGGGATGGGGTCGTCTGGAACAAGGTGAGCCTCTTTTCCCTTATGCACTCATGCTGCTGCTTGCTCACTTCTCGTTTTTCTCCCTCCCTGCCTCATGCTTGCTGTTTTCCCCATTCTCACTGCTGTCCCTTG